AAATCCTCATGTATCATTTGCCAAACAAATGTCCAAGAAAACAACCAAATGAGGCTTTAAAATAACCAATTCTGACACTGTTCACAGAGTCTAAAAGAGGTTGTCCTCTTTCAACAGGGGTAACCATAGCATACTACTCTTGTTAACAGAGGCATCAAAAATAAATAAAAATTATTTCCCAGTTGGATTTTTACTGATCATTCTATGTATTCCATCTGAATCCTCAGCACTAGTAAGCGATTTACAAACTGTAAAATTCTTTACCTACTACGTAGATTTACATAGTGTCTTTTCTATTTTAAACAGATGCCATGGAAAACACAGGGTTCATTTGCTTTAGTTATTGCTTTCTTTCCCATCTACAATCTCCCTTGATACTTTTAATTCATTACACATCTAGTTGAGTATCTATTTTTATATTCCCTACATTCATATTTAATAGATGTCTAGCTCTAACCTCTCTTCTGAACGCAAAACTTACATTTCCAAAAGCTTCTGGACATTTCCAGTGTTTCTAAGTATTTAGAAGGGCATGGTGGCACATGTCTACATGAGTGAGGCTAGCCTATCTTTAAAAAAAAAAAGGCCATTCAAAAATCAATCTTATTATGCAACTCTTCCTTCTATTTCTACTAACAGTATCAACACTGCCCACACATAGTATTGGTAACCTTTCATTTCTATCTCCCCCAAACCTTCCCTATTGATCCCTTCCTCTACTAACCTACCAGTATTTATAGGAAAGTCAGCTTCTCCCAACAAATCATCCTGCACACTACACTATTAGACCTCAGTCACTTCTTGTTACCTTCCAAATGTCAACTTCTAAATACAGCATTTAGAAATACATGCTGTATTCCATGATACAGTCCAAATCTACATTTCAAACCTCATCTCTAATGCTCAAAAATGAACTGGATAAGCCAGGCACCGGTGGCTCATGCCTGTAATCCTAGCTATTCAAGAGGCTGAGATCTGAGAATCATGGTTCAAAACGAGCCTGGGCAGGAAAGTCAGTGAGACTTTAATCTCCAATAAACCACCAGAAAACCAGAAGTGGTGCTGTGGCTCAAGTGGGAGAGTGCTTGCCTTGAGCTGAAGAGCTGAGGGACAGCGCCCAGGTCGAGTTCAAGACCTATGACCAACCAAAAGAAAAAAAGAATGAACTGGTTATTCCAGGTAATTTGGTCCACTAACTTGTATCTGAGTACACAAAGAACTTTTCCACCTCCACACTTTCGTTAATTATCATTTTCTTCATTTGAAAGGTCTTCTTCATCCACCTAGTCCTGTTTTAGAAAAAGTCTTACCCTCTGTAACACTGAATTTAGGTTTTCAAACCAGATGGATCTGAAGTCAAATTAGGGCTGTAGCCACAAAGCCAGAAGAAGTTATTTAACATATATGAGACTCAATGTCTTTACTATTAAGAAAGAGGCTTATCCTTGGTGCTGGTGACTTATACCTGTATTCTAACTACTCAAGAGGCAAAGGACTGGAGGATCATGGCTCAAAGTTAGCCCAGACAAACAGTTCCAAGAGACTTCACCAATTAAAAAAAAAAAAAAGCAAAAAAAAACAAGAAAACCAGACTGAAGATATGGCTCAAGTGGTATAGGAACAGCCATGATGAACAAAAAAGCTGAGTGGAGTACAAAGCAATGAGTTCAAGCCCTGATACCAGCTTACAGGTTGTTTTGCGTACAGAAACCAACTAGTATAGAACCTAGTAAGTACTTAGTAAATAAGAGCATCTTAAATAAACAAATCAGAACTATAATTATAAGTATTACTTTATCTCTATTTCCTATAATCACCCTTTTCCCTTTTGTACAACCTAAAGGGACCTCTGTGGTTAAGTATTTGCATTTATCTCCTTTTTGTTTTGGGGGTATTTGAGACAGGGTCTAGATTTGAAGCCCAAGTTGGCTTCCAATAAGCATAGTCCTGCATCTCCCTCCTCTGTATACACCACATATTTTATTATGCAGCAATTTTTTTGTGCAGATATCTTACATTCCCTACCAGTTTCAAATTCCTAAAAACCAAAGACTTAATCTTTGTGTCCTCTAATACCTAGCACACTGCTTTCATGGAGCATTTAACACTTATCTCCAATGTTAATTCCCAATATGGGGGAGGGGGGGCTCATTATTACTATACAGTACAATTCAATTCCTCATGATTTCAGACACACCTTAGAAAATTAGTCAAAACATGAATCTTGGCCAAGCACAGTGATTCATGCCTGTAACCCTAGCTGCATGGAAGGCTGAGATCTGGAGGACAGCAGTTCAAAACCTCAAGTTGGTGGAAAAGTCCACAAATCTTCCTCTTCAAATTAACCAGCAAAAATCTGAGTTAGGATGTGGCTCAAGTTGCAGAGCCCCAGTCAAACAAACAAGGTAAGCAAGTGTCAGGCCCTGAGTTTTAAACCCCATAATAGGGGGGAAAAATAATTATTATATATATAGATATACATATTAATCTTAGTTATTATAGCTATGTTATTTGTTCTATACAATTTCATAATATAACTTGATGCATAGCAAGCATTCAATATTGTTGAACTGACTTGAGTAATAAAATCTATAATGCATGAAAGTATCTTGATTTCCCTAATTTTCTTTTACTACTTTCCTAATAACTGTTAATATTTCCCTTCAAAACACTTTATCCATAACCAAATCTGACTCCTTTTCTAGATTTTCTCATTTCCAATATCCCAACTTGCAAATGTCTAATAATCAATAGTTTGTATCTAAGTTAAAAGTGTGCAACAATGGGGCTAGGAATGTGGCCTAACACACATGAAGTGCTGGGTTTGATTCCTCAGAATGGAACAGAAAAAGACAGAAGTAGAGCTGTGGTTCAAGTGATAGAGGGCTAGTTAGCCTTGAGCAAAAGAAGTTCAGGGACAGTGCTCAGGCCCTGAGTTCAGGACTGCAAAAAATAAAATAAAAAATAAAAATAAAGAAGTGTACAACAAAAGCAGCAACAACAACAAAAAAAAATGTACAAAAAAAATCTTCCAGCCGGGCACCGGTGGCTCACGCCTGTAATCCTAACTACTCAGGAGGCTGAGATCTGAGGATCTCCGTTCAAAGCCAGCCCGGGCAGGAAAGTCCGAGAAACTCTTATCTCCCATAAACCACCAAATACCCGGAAGTGGCACTGTAGCTCAAGTGGTAGAGTGTTGGCCTTGAGCTGAAGAGCTGAGGGACAGGGCCCAGGCCTAGAGTTCAAGCCCCATGACCGACCAAAAAAAAAAAATCTTCCCTCCACAAGCCTTTCCTGTGGCTTAAGATCAACAGCCCTCGGGGCTGGGAAGGTGGCTCAACAGTAGAGTGCTTGCCTTGCATGCATGAGGCCCTGGGTTCGATTCCTCAGCACCACATAAGCAGAAAAACCTGAAAGTGGCGCTGTGGATCAAGTGGTAGAGCCCTAGCCTTGAGCTGAAGAGCTGAGGGACAGCGCCCAGGCCCAGAGTTCAGGCCCCACAACCGACCAAAAAAAAAAGACCAACAGCCCTGAAATAAACTTTCCTTGGTATAGGTGCTCACTAAACTTGTCACTTTCGTCTAATTCATGGCATTAACTTTCCTTCCAGTGATGGGCAGAGAAAGAATGAGATGAGACACCCCCTCCGCCCCCCCAAAAAAACCTACACTACAAATCCTAATATAAGCATAAGTACAGATAGTGTTCATGGCTTCATGATCTGTATATATTCAACAGTGCCAAGAGATTGGTCATCTGCTCAGTCATAATCTACAGTAAATGCACCCTCTTCTGATCATAATTCAAAAAAAAAATCACCATTAAATGCTTAGAAAAATCTGTATTTCAGCAAACCTTTCATCACAGTTTTATGACCTAAAATCTATCCACTAAAAGTAACTCCCTACATCATTTTCTCCTCTAGGAAATTCTCCGGTTTATCCTAGGTAAACACCTCATGACACAAACTTAAACAAATAAAACACCTCTGCCCACCTGTGGAAACCTCTGCACTGCAGCAACAGCTGTAATCATGTACGGAACCGCTCGGGAGAAACTAAGAACCATTTTTCTTTACCAGTGTGGGAAAGTGACAGTTCCAAATAGGAAAGTAAACAAACTTCGCGGGGGGAGGGGGAGGGGAAAATAAGCCTCCTCCGACACTTGGCCACGGGCGTGTGCGGTAACCCCTGGGTGAACTCATCACACAGCTGTGACTTGGGACGGACGGCCACAGGAGTGAGGAGCGCGGATGACAGAATCGCTGCTGCTGCCTTTCTCTTTTCTTCACGTCAGCAAGAAAACAGGTGAACGTGTATTCGAACTACCTCCTTTCCTCAAGTACGCTGGGGTGCTTCTGGTTTTGTTTTTTGAGTGACTTTTTCAGCGGCGGCTCCGGCAAGCTTTCGAGGGAGTGGAAACCACGGGAGGAGACACGCAGGTACTGCCCAGGCGACCTGCGCACCCGGACCGGGTCCCCCGCGCAGTCCACACGGAGCCAGCCGTCCCGTGAGAGCGGGTCTTGGCTGGAAAGCCTCGCCACAGATCCCCGGCATCCACCTAGGCAGCGCCCCACCCCGGCACCGAGGAGACGACACCCCTGGGACCCAGACTAATTACTGAGCCCGGGACAGACCCAGAGGCGGCGAAGGGCCGGGCACCGCGGCTCACCCCGCGCCGGGCCTCCGGGTTCACCGGGAAAGCGGCGCGGAGCCCCGGGGGAGCGGGGAACGCGGGGGTCGCCCGGACCGAGGCCCAGCCCAGGCTCCGCAGCACCCGCAGCCGCGGCACCCCCGCCCCGCCCCGCCCACCCCGCGGCCCCGCAGCCCGCTCCTCCTCGCCCCGCGGGTTCCGCGCAGACCGCCTCCCGCGTCCCCGGACCCCGACAGCCGAGGCCGGAGCTGGACGCCCGGAGCCCGGGGTGGGCAGCGGGGGCCCGAGGGCACCACAGCCCCGCCGCGGGCCCGCGGTCGCCCGGATCCCTTTACCGGGTTACTCACCGTCGGCCCGGACGCTGGGAGGGCGCGGGGCGCGGCTCGGCGGACGAGGACCTCCACACTCTGACCCGGACTGGAGATGCCTAGTCCGAGCCGATGGAGACTCAGCGACTGTGCCTACCAGGCCTCTCTCCGGCCCGAACCCTGGAAAAGCACTTCCGGGGGAGCGGGGGAGGGAAGGATTTTGGCACCGGAACTGCTCGCGGGCTGGAGCTGCCAGGGCCTCCCAGGCGGGGCGGGGCGGGGAGTGGAAGGGCGTGGCTTGTTGGTTGGTGGGGCGGGGCCTCCGGGAAGGGGCGGGGCGCCTGGAGCCGGGAGCCCCACAAATCTGTCTTTGGGCGTCTCACGAACTGTGTTTGGCCCGCGGTCGCTCGACTCCCCCTGCCTGCGGGTTGCACCCCTTATTTTAACTAGAGTTGTTCCCCTCCAGCCACCTGTTTTCATAAACAATAGAACCGGGCTCAGAGAACTTAGTTGCAAAAGTCGTCTGTTACCTCCAATCTGTCTTTGTAATAATGATAGTTAAAGTGTACTGAATGCTTACTAGGCGGCAGGCACTCCATTAAGCGGTTCGGGTGCCTTACTAGTTTATGCAAACTCTTTGAGGTTAGTGCTATTCTCTGTATCTTGTAGAGAAAAAAAAATGAGTCAAAGATAACCAAAACGTTTACTCTTGATTTTACTTTTAACTCTTGAGGCAGAATAGCTTGCAATAAACGGATCCTAGTTTCTGGGGTTCTAGGAGGTGAGTGGAAAATTGAGCAGAGTTCCCCTACTCTATGGGGAAATCGTTTCTGAATACGCTCCTGATAACACTATAATCTACCCCAAGCAAGATTTTTAAATTATTTAAGGATAGAAACCAAATTAGATCCCTATATTATATTGATCATCACTTAAAACCCCACTAAAAGCCAGGAGCCCGAGAATCTTACTGTTCTGGAATCCTATTGCCCAGATCCTTTTATTTTTCCTCTTTATCCTACCAAGTTCCGTAACCTCTTCAAACCTCAGTTGTTTTTGTTGTATGTGTGGTGTGATCATTCCTGAACTGTTATAGAAATTCCACATTCTCCAGATTATCTGGCCCTATAAAAGTCAGGAATTCTTAGTGCATACCTCACAGCAATCACAGGCAGAAAAGACCTGGATACTGCTGCATCTCTGAGCCCTAGTTAGACAGTATGACGACCCACAGAGTCTGGCAAGAGGGACCAAAAAAAAAAAAAAAAAGAAAGAAAGAAAAAGAAAAAAAGAAAAGATTCCTCAGCCACAAAATCAACAAGGCACCAAATATTGGAGATAGAGTCTATGTTTGAGGCCAGATTCGGTAAGAAATAAATAAATAAGTGTAAAAAGAAAAAGTGTTGATAGGGGCTGGGAAGGTGGCTCAGTGGTAGAGTGCTTGCCTTGCATGCCTGAGACCCTGGGTTCGATTCCTCAGCACCACATAAGCAAAAAGAAAAAAGACGGAAGTGGCGCTGTGGCTCAAGTGGTAGAGCGCTAGCCTTGAGTTGAAGAGCTGAGGGACAGCGCCCACGCCCAGAGTTCAGGCCCCATGACCGGACCCAAAAAGAAAAAAAAAAAAAGAAAGAAAAAGTGTTGGTATGGATGGTGTCTACAATAGTTTCTGTTGCAGAAGATCTTAAAACGTTCTACTGCCAGGCGCCGGTGGCTTAAGCCTGTAATCCTAGCTACTCAGGAGGCTGAGATCTGAGGATCACAGTTCAAAGCCAGCCTGGGCAGAAAAGCTGTGAAACTCTGATCTCCAATAAACCACAAAGAAAATCGGAAGTGGCACTGTGGCTCAAGTGGTAGGGTGCTCGCCTTGAGCTGAAGAAGTGAGGGACAGTGCCCAGGCTCAGAGTTCAAGCCCCATGACAGACAAAAAAATAAAGGAAACCTTCTACTAATAAAGGGCAAGGGAAATGGAAATATTTGAGAACCCCTTATTATAGACAGGATGTGAACAATGCCATGGCTACTGGCTTTATTTAAAGTGCTACCCTATTTTTTATTCATGTAATTGCAAAAGTATTTGAACTTCCATAATATCCAAATTCAAGCAGCCTTTATCCCTCAGAGTATAAAAAACAGAGCCTGTATTGGCAAGACCTACTGAGGTCTTCTCTTTCCACCCAAGGCCTAGAGGGCTAGTGAGAGAATCTTCTATCATAGACATACCAGGCACTGTGCAGGATGCAGAGAAGGGAGATGCTGGCCGTTTAAACCGGTCCTATAACTGATAAGTTTACCTGGAGGTCTTATTAAACAAATTCCTCAGCATTTTACACAATCATATTAATGCTTCTCCAGGTATTGTCCTCAAGGACAATATTATCACTTGGGAACTGGTTTCAAATGCAAATTACTAGGCCCCACCCCAGACCTTGTAAACTAGAAACTCTGGGGTGAAACGCAGTAATCTATGTTTTAATAGGCTTCCCCAAAGAATTTATACGCTCTCAAGTTTAAAAACCACTATACCCTAATACTGTCAAATTTTTGTAAAAAGAGAAACAAGTATTATAGTTCAAAGCTTATCTTTCATACATTCATCTTTTTTCTCTCTCTCATTATCTCCAATGGGAGTAACTCAACTATAGAAAAAGAGATTTTTGTTGCCTTTTTTCCAGTTAATTGGTTTGTTGGTTTGTTGTTTGGTTTCCAGTGCTAAGTGAACCCAGGGATTCAGTATACGCTAGGCAAGAGTCCCATTCCACTAACCTATACCCCCAGCCCAGCAAAGAGTTCTTCCTATTACTTAAAGAATGTTTTAGAGCATTTTTATTCAAGTTTTGCTTTCCATGAGAGAAAAAATAGTATTAGCGGGGGATTCTTTCTGATTAAACTTGTACTGAAATTTTACCAGTTAATACTGCATAGGGATGGAACAAATTTTATTTGAGAATTGCTCTCTCTTAAGTCTTCACATGTATTTTCTTTTTTTCTTTTTATTGTGAAAATACCATACAGAGGGGTTACAATTACATGGGCTTCACATGTATTTTCTAAATGAACCTTTACTATACCACTATGAGATTTTTATGTTCTTAATTTTACCCATGAGAATAACTGCGACTTAGGTGAATTAATTGACCTAAGCTCACATTCTTGTTAAAGGGCAGAAATTGGATTGTTCAAAGATCCTGGTAACCCAAACTCATAGGCTTTCCACTTGGTGGCTGGAGCCTGGAGAGCTAAATTCCACTGTGGGCTCTTATCACTCCAGCCATGCAACATTGGGTAAGTGATTTAATCTCTATTTTCTATTTCTCCATTTATGTTATCATAAATCTTGTCCCACATTAGACTATCAGAACAAATGAGGAAAGAAAAGTACACTACTTTCAGCTTAAAAAAAAAAAAGCAAAAAAGCAGAAAGATGGGTTATGATATTGTATGTTTAGACAAGTGTTGCTCTTAAAGCCTGAGCTTGTTCATATAAAAGAGAGTGCCTAAAAAAGTTGTCCAACTTCATTTGCCAGTGTCTTCCGAAGGTTAAAAAAAGATGAGGGAAAATTTTTATTCATATTATTTTTAAAATACAGGAAGGGAGGGTATGGGTGTTGCTCAGTGATAAAGTGTGTGCTTAGCATAGCAAATACCCTGGGTTTTATTCCCAGCACAAACAAACAAACAAACAGCAAAGACTCTCTCTCTCAGATTCCAGATAGTGGCCAAATTGCTGACAGCACTCTCATTCTAAAGACTTTACTCCAAACTTTTTTCTCCATTCCATACATCCCTCCAGCCACTAAAGAAGACTTAAAATTCCTGTTATTTTATTATGTAGAAGGATTTAGCTCTCAATCCTCCTCTCTGGCCAGATCACCTTTATTGACTTAATCACTGGATTGCACAATTCTAGGGGTTCCATTCACAAAGAATACAACATGAATACTGCTCACAGGGGTGCTAATTGCACACACCCCATGCTTTCAGGAATCACACTTGGTGTTGTCTATGCAAAGCCGATCCCCTCCACAGAAATCTATAAAGACACTTTGTTAAACAAAAGAACCATCTACTTGGGTGTCCACCCTTTGCCCAGCATTAAAATGATGAGGTTCTTTGTTTATGTTTTGTTTAACACCAGCTTGACACCCCTTACTTTAGGCTTACCTTAAGCTAAAGTCTTAAGGTTCTGTGCTGGATATGTCATGTTCACACTTCAGTCACAGTGCTGCCTATGTCTTCAGACATGAGTTGGGTCTTGTTTTTTTTTAAGTTTTTGTTTTGAGGCTGGTTTGGGGGGCTGATTTTTGGCCTTTGGTATTTTTTGACTTTTTTTTTTCTTGTGCTAGTTCTGGGCTTGAATTTCAGGCCTTGGCACTGTCCCATAGCTTTTTTTGCTCCAGGTTGGCCCTTTGCCATTTGAACCACAACCCTGCTTCTAGCTTTTTGTTTTTGTGTCAGTCCTGGGGCTTGAACTCAGGCCTGGAAGCTATCCCTGAGCTTCTTTTGCTCAAGGCTTACACTTGATCCACAACTCTACTTCCAGCATGTTTTAGTAGTGAGGGTAAGAGTCTCACAGACTTTCCTGCCCAGGCTGACCTCAAATCACGATCTTTAGATCTCAGCCTCCTGAGTAGCTAGGATTACAGGCATGAACCACCAGCACCCAGCCACTTCCAGCTTTTTGATAGTTAATTGGAGGTAAGAGTCTCATAGACTTCCTGCCCAAGCTAGCTTTTAACTGAGATCCTCAGATCTTAGTCTCCTGAGTACTAGTATTATAGGCATGAGCTACTGGTGCCAGATTGGTCATCTCCTTCCTGATGTCAAACATCTGGACATGCATTGCCAATTAACGACTGTCTAGCTAGGATGCCACTGGGCTATAAGATCATATACAGGTTTCAAACAACTATAGTTTTTGCGATATCAATTTTTACCTCTGTTCGTTGCTATTTATTCTAATGTATTCTGAGGTATTCCAAATTTTGTTTGTGTGTAGCAAATTGTGGGATACCATGGACTATTTCTGAACAAGCAAGACAAATATAATTATCAAGTTACAAATGATCACTACCAACATTTTAATGGAATTGTAACTTAATATTTCTTTGCAAAGAAAAGCCAATCTTCAAAGAGTCCAATGAATTTCATGATAACTAGCCCAATGAG